CTTATGCCCTGCCTAAACTTAAGAAAATGTGCCAAACAAATGGTTTATTAACATCTATACATCAAAGTTTGTTGTTAAACCTTTTATAGGAAATTAATCACACAATAAGCTGTGCATTAGTGATTTATTTGATTCTGTAAATAAATGATCTTGTTTATTTTTGATCAACTTAAATTCACTGAGTACGCTCATCTTATTGCATTTTGTCCATTCAAAAAAGAAATTAACAGGCTTTCCAACAGTATACAATTTAATGCCAAGAGGCATTGTTACAACAAAGAAATAAACTACTAAACACACATTTCCTTACTCTTTGTGCTAAGTTTAGAAACTCCATTAGCTGTATTGGCAGTGCTTAAAGCTCGCTGATAATGCTATCTGAGCGTGGAAATAACCATGAAATTCTAAATAACTGTGTAAACRTGTCAGAGACTGGAGTTGTTTGAATTTGGTGGTAATCCCATATGTTCTTGGCTGTTTTCAATCTCATCTGTTTTGTCAGGCATAAACTCTGATTCTCTAAACTGAGGTTGTTTAWTGGAGCGATCTACAACAGGTAAGATCATAAAAAGCACACTTCAAAATGTCCAAAAGATTCATGTAAGAYGACACAATAAGTGTGTCACTTTTATACCACTCGCACATGAAAAATCTGATTTATACGAGCAAACTGAGGGAGATGCTTCACACTGCAGCTGAAGGTCAACTGATATATTGTTGTTAATGATTGCTGAGATTTAAAGAGCGCTGGTGACACACACACACACACACACACCCTACACCCAGATACAAATCTGTAATGTCAAGCAGGTTTGTTAAACTGGTTTGACTTCTGGTTTGCCTGTCGGCGAGGCACATCCAGAGCAGGGAGTGTCAGCTCGCCTTCCACACCTCTCGCTTTGAGCTCAGATCTGACCTGACCAAGACGTACCTGCTCGCATCGACCCTTTCTTCGCCAGCCTCAGAAGTCCTTTCTTCTTGAGGATGAAGCTCCCTCCGATGAAGATGCTGGAGCTGATGGCCAAAGCCAGGCCGATGTAGAAGTCATACCTGCCCCTGTCCTGACCCATAGCGAGGCTGGAAGCGTTGCGGTGGTCTGTCACATTTACCACCAAGCAGGGAAGATGCTGACCAACGAAGCAGCTCCGGACAGCCCGGTCACCTGACAAGAAAACAACAAAAAACACGCTGTAAACTGTCAACACACTAACATCGTTTACTACAGCTGAGCAAAACAACAACAAAGAAAGAAACACAAAACGGCTGTAAAGAGTCAACACACTGACGCAGAGACCTACCGCTTCCACACGACAGATTACACACTGGAAAGTCATAATTTGTAGAGTCGGAAAGCTCCATCTAAAGAACATGTAGTACTCTGTCCCAAACAAACGCATAGGAATGACTGCTAGATAACCGGTTGGCTTGGATTAACTACAAAGCATTGTGCAACTCAGCCCGCTATGTAAATTAACTTATTTCAAGAGTTTGGAATCCAGGAAGTGCCAAGCCGCCTAAGCTAACCTGAAGGTGCCCATTCAGCGCTGCTATTAGCTTTGTTAGCCTTATTACCTGTCAGCGATGTCCCCAGCACTCCTTCCACAGCTAAATGTAATGTTAGCGCCTCTCTGTTGCCCTCAATGTACTTAAATATACATTTATAGCATCACTTGGCTTAGCCACGTTAGCTTAAATTCGCACGAGAGCGAAGTCGGCAACGTTAGCAAGTCGATCCTCTCAGGAAGTCGAGACGTTTGTTACGTGTTCAAAAGGGCAGCTTCTTACCCCCACCTCCTCCCGAAAGGACAGAAGAGTGTGTGATGAAAACTGTCCGGTTTCTCCCGGCTCTCTTGGTCACATCCTGTTCCTTCCACACGGATCAGAACTGCTGCCGCACTGCGAGGCTCTTCTTCGGCTTATCAGCAACAGACGTGTAGGTTGGACCGTGTGCCCTCCGCCGGCTGGAACCCAGCACCACAGAGCCAGGGTTGCCAGATGGGAAATGTTGAATTATCGTATCAGCAGCTCAAAATTATCGTATTTTGAGGAAAATT